GAGGAAGGGAGAGGGAGAGAGAGATAGAGACATTAATGATGAGAGAGAGCCATTGATTGGCTGCTTCCTGCAGGCCCCCGACTGGGGATCAAGGCCACAACCCCAGCATATGCCCTGACCCCCTGACCGGGAGTTGAACCGTGGCCTCCTGGTTCATAGGTGGACACTCAACCACTGAGCAACACTGGCGGGGCAAGTAATTTTTTTCAATGCTGACTTCTTCAGAACAAAGATGCCCAAAGACATCTTGGGGTGACATGACTTCCAGCAGCCAGGACATTTATGTTATGAGGTGTTGGAGGAGAAGGGAGCTGACCCAAGCAAGCCACGCCTGTGCTCGGTGCTCAATTTAAGGATGACTTGCTGTATTTCAGGGCTGGCATTTTTTAAGAGTTGAGACCAATAAAAGGAAAAGCACAAAGAAACACATTTTTTAATGCACAACTGGCACCAAATTGAGGGACGTGAGCTCATTGTGGCTGGAACGTGTCGGATGGGCAGCCCAGACAGGCTAAGCACCGGGTTGTGCCCCGTTTACAGAGGGCTGCTTTTCATGCTCGCAAGGACGGCAGCTGTAAGAATTGTTCTAGACATGAGTCACGGGGCTATTACGTGTCTTGTACCAACCAGCATAAAATAACAGTTACAGAAATTACAGGCTTCAGGCGGGGGAGGACAGGCCCAGCCGAGGGTGCAGCCTTCGACCCCATAGTTCCCCCCAGGAAACCTTCCTGAGGAAACTACCAGGTACTCACCCTGTATGTCCAAGAGTGTTGAACTCATTACTTAGTTAGCTCAGTTTTCAAATGTTAAGCATTTTACAAGAGTGTTGATTTGGCTTCTTTATACTACAGAATAGTGTGTTATCATAAAAAATAATTACTGTGATGCCTAACAACACAGGAAAATGTTTATAATATAATTCGTATGTTTGTTTTCTAGGGCTGTCATAACAAATGGCCACAACTGGGTGGCTTAAGACCAGAAAAATTTTATTCCCTTACACCTATGGGGGCCGGAAGTTGTCTGAATTCAAGGCGTCAGCCAAGGGGTCGGCAGGGTTGGCCCGGCTGGGGACTCGGAAGGAGAATCGGTCCTGGCCTTGCGCCCGGCTCCCGTTTGCTCGGCCTCCCTGGGCCTCCCCCAGCTTGTAGGCGCCTCGTGCCAAACTCTGCCTGCAGCTGCGTCATCACACAGACTTGTTCCCTCTGTCCCTATGTCTCTGTTTTGTTATAAGGACACCAGTCACTGGATGAGGCCCACCCTAATCCAGTAGGACCTCATCTTAACAAATTACATCTGCAAAGACCCTATGTCCAAATAAGGTCACATTCTGAGATTCTGGGGAGACATGAATTTTTGGGGGGAGGGGCACTATCCAACCCAGGGCAGTTGGCATGGGGCATCATGAGTCTGTCTAGTGTGGCTGCGTGGAGGGGCGAGAAGACCTGGGGGGGGGTGATGGAGGAATCCCCAGGGCTGAGTTGGGAGTCACAGGGACCATGTAGCATGGGCTGTGTCCGTTTAGGACCCAGGAGAGAGCGCAGAAGACATTTCTGTAGAAACCCGAGTGGAAGAACCAACCGTCCTATGGGTCGGGCCCCAGGACGCACAGCTACCCTGCCCCCAAAGCACAGTGCAGTCCCCACCCTCACCCTGCAGAGCGCGGGCGAGAACAGACTGTGTCCCATTCCCTTCCCCACTGCAGGCTCAGCCCCAGATGTGTCTGAGACAAGAAGGAAGAGGGTGTCATGCCCCTTAGTTTTGACTGTATCATAGGACACATGCTAAGATGCATATATTAGTATGTACTATGCATACGGGCCCTACAACATGGCATTATTCTTATTGAAGACCTGAAAGTATTTTAGGGCTAAAATGAACCATAGAGCTTTTTAAAAAATATGTATTTTTATTGCTTTTGAGAGAGAGAGAGAGAAAGAGAGAAAGACGGATGTGAGAGCACATCAATTGGCTGCCTCCTGCACGCCCCCTACTGGGGATGGAACCAGCAACCTTTAGGTGCACAGGACGAAGCCCAACCAACTGAGCCACACTGGCCTGGGCATCATTGAGCTTTTTATTATCTGACAGGGATCAGAAAAGAAGGTGGGGGCAGCCAGCATCTCATTCTTGGTCAGAAGCATATTTCTATAGTCGATTTCAAATGTAGGTGGTGGGAATTGGGGTGAATTTTATGTATTTTTTAATGTAATGCTTTCTCTGACTATGCAGTGCATTTTCCTTAAATGTAGGTAAAGCTAACTTGTAGAGTTGAGGACAGAATGTCCCCACCCCAGTTCGTGGCTGGAATGGGACGCAGTGACCGTTGACACCCACCCTCGGAGTCCCCGGGCCCATGGAGGGGACCCCGGAGAGGGTTCCCGGTGCAGAGCAGGAAAGAAAGGAGAAAGCGTAGAGCGAGCAGGCAGCCTTCAGCAGTTGCTGCCACCAAGCCGAGCTCTGCCTTTGAACAGTAGCAACAGCCACTTTGCTTCTGCCCAGAGAATGACACACATTTCCCAGTGTCGCTGTGACCCAGTTCCGGGGACCTGGAGAAAGCACCGAGCCAGCTCTCCTGCCCAGTGCGCAGGGCTCGGAGCCCCAGGGCAGCTGGGCGCCCCAACAGCCTGCTGTCTCCCTTCCCCCGCAACCCCCCAGGTCAGGGTAGAACAGGCTCAGATGTCCCATGTGCCCATTCATTTTGTTTTTCTAGCTGGTTTTGTTTGGCTTGCAGGGAATGCCAGCTTTCTGTTGAGTGATAGCCAAGGGAGTGTCTATTTGGATGTGAAAAGAAAGAATGCCAATGTCACAGGCAGAGGAAAACTTGGAAGGAACCCCAGCTTTTCATCGAATTTCATAAGCTGGGGAGTCTGGGCCTGCAGTCCAGGGAAGAAGGAAATAGGTGGGAGATAGTGTGGATGTTTAACAGGGCTCTGCGGGGTAGAGCAGTTCCCCACCCCACCCTCCTGGGGTCCCCGTGGCCAAATCAGAGAACCAAGCTCACGGGTCACCTTCGTGCACATGTATCAGAGGGCGGGTAGGACTGCGGCCGGGCTTGCAGTGCTTTATTTTAAAATACGTTTTTATTGATATTTAGAGAGAGAAACATCTATGAGAGAAACATAGATCGGCTGCCTCCTGCAAGCCCCCTGCTGGGGACTGAGCCCACAACCCAGGCATGTGCCCTGACCGGGAATCGAACCGGCGACCTCCTGGAGCATGAGACGACACTCAACCACTGAGCCACACTGGCCAGGGCATTGCAGTGGTTTTGAAAGAAGCACACATGGTGACCCTGGACGGCTAGAGGGACCCATCAAACCAATGGTTTGGCTCCCATCCTCTTGGGAGAATTTCAGGCCCATTCATTAACTTTCTAAAGATTTAATTATTATAATTTTTTCTTAGGGAAGGGGGGGCAGAATTCAGAGTTATTCGCCCTATTCCTATGAAACAGAGCTCTTCACACGGGATGTTCGGGGAGGATGGGAAAATCCCCAGCTTTGCCCTCCTTGGGTTGCGGAAGAGTGGAGGGGTCAGAGCCCAGGGAAGGAGGAGACCCGAGCTGAGGGGAGAGAATGGAGCACACGGAGAGGCCGCAGTGACCCGGAGCTGACCCGCCCAAGCTTCACGGCGAAAAGGCCACAAGCGGGCATCCGCAGGGCAGGGCACCCGTAGGACCAGTCGCCCTGTGCCCCTGCCCCGCGGCCCCTGAGCCACTAGCACCCCCCCGCCACGGAGCAAACCGGACGGCGTCCGTGAAATGTGTAGAAAGTTGATCATAGGACCCACACCGAAACCCTTGCTGCGAACCAGATAGGAAAACAGTGCAAACCCCCGGGGAAGCTGCCCCGAGCGCGGAGGTCACGGCGAGGTCACGGGCAAGGCTCTGGCCCAGGCAGCCCCGTAGGTGAGGCCTTGCCCAGTGCCTGGGTGAGGGAGGAATGGGACACGTTGGCCACGGGCCACGCCACACCGAGTCATTCCAGGAATGGGAAATAAGNAAGGCTCTGGCCCAGGCAGCCCCGTAGGTGAGGAATGGGACACGTTGGCCACGGGCCACGCCACACCGAGTCATTCCAGGAATGGGAAATAAGGAAGAACATTAAATATTTGAACTCTGGGCAATCTTTAATCCAAGCTGTGAAGGGACAGGGAAGGGAGCCTTGGCCCCTCCAGGGGTGTGGCCTGGCTCCCAGGGACAAGCCTGGCAATGCGACGTCAATATACTTGTGGACGCCGCTGAGGATTCCCACGTGAACAGCCATGCGGAACAGGTGGGCTCTGGTCACACCGGCCTCTGGAGAGAGGCCAGATTGTTCTGCTGCGAGCTTCAGCACGGCACGGCGACATTTTCATGGAGAGGGCTACAGATGTTTGTCTCGTAGGGACTTTCTATAGAGGCGGCGGTGGGGAGGACAGGCCTGCCTTGTTCAAAGGAAAGCCACAAGGCCTCTTTTTTTTAAATATAAATATGTTTTTTTAAATTGATTTCAGAGAGAGGAAGGGAGAGAGAGGGAGAAAAACATCGATGAGAGAGAAACATTGATCGGCTGCCTCCTGCACGCCCCCTACTGGGGATCGAGCCTGCAACCCGGGCATGTGCCCTGACCGGGAATCGAACCTGTGACCTCTTGGTAAATGGGCCCATGCTCAACCACTGAGCAACACTGGCTGGGCAACAGTTCTATTTTTTTTTTTTTTTCTTAAATCAGGCAATGGAAGAAAAAGTAAGACATTTATTAATAAGGGCTGCAACCGATCCAAGGGAGAGTAACGCAGCTCATGCAGCATCTTCCCTCAGTGGGACTTCTTCCAGGAGAGGAGGCCAGAGGAGTAGGCCTTGGGATGTGCAGTTTACCTTCTTGCGAAGGAGGCGAGGGCCCTGGGAGTCCTGGGCTCGGTTCAGCACGGCCCCCGAGATGGTAACTCGGCCAGCTCCTCGAACAAAGGAAACGGCGAGGGGCCCCTGCGGGGAGACAGCAGGTACTGGAGGCCGGGTAAAGGAGACACAGCCCCAGATAGGAAGTTCACGTCTCAAAAAGGGAAGGTCCAGAGGAAGGGCTGCGGCCACTCACAGGGATTCAGGCTGGTCTAAGGAGCAGCTGATGGGGGAGTGAGGAGGAAAGGAACCAGTTAAGCCAGTAGAGGGGCAGGCTGGCCTCAGCTGTGGTCATCTGAGGCTGTGCAGCTGGAGTCATTCATCCATCCATCTATCCATCCACCCATCCATCCATCCATCCATCCA